ATAAGTATTTGCTTCCTGTCTTGGAAGCAAACAACAAAGGAGACCGCCAGCCTGATAGCGAGATTGTAAAAACCTCCACCACATTTCCTGTTTGTAAGAAAGTAGGCAGGAAAAAAAAAAAAAAAAAAAAAAAAAAAGGCTAGAGACCTTTGTCAAGATTGACAGCAACTGTAGAGAGAGATTCTTGCTGCCAGGTCGAAAACAAAAGAGCTTCCAAGGTTTGCCAATGTAGCATAACTTCATCTCATGTTGGATAAAGGGGCGGGGAATATTCCTAAAAGTGATAAACAGGTAAGTCTTGTCTTTTTCATGTTATGGGCGTGCAAAGTAAAAACGTGCTCTGATAGATTATGAGTTYTCCAGGAAGGGTGTTCAGCGTCATGAAGTCAAACTATTAATAATCATAATGATGATGATGACTCATCATCAACAGCTAAGCCTTCATTAATCTTCTGCTAAGTTGGCGAAGGCACTAAGATTTGTTAATAAAGAATAAGTATTGGCATCAGCTCTGTATTTGAAATATTTACTATGTGGAAGGCTTCTTATTCTCCTACACACTTTTATGAAATATGAAGTTTGTATCTTACAAAACAATTAGATGTGCATTAATTAATTGCACTTAAGGACTCCTTTTCAGAGAATCATTCCTGCCTTAAAAGTTCACAGAGGTGGAAGTTTTATTAATGCTAATTTAATATTACATCAGTTGTAAGTCTCCTAATGGGTTTGTTTTTGATAAGAGTTGTTACTACAGAAAATGTATTTCTCCATAGAGTTGCAGACAGCAAAATAGTTATGTTCTGTCTTCCACAAATTTGCAGACAGACAGAAACAATGGGAAACAAAACATTTTGTGTTCCAGATCGCCTTCTCAAATCTGTTAGTARCCAAAGTAATTAATTAGTTTCCATGAATGATGAATGGATACTAGATATGGCATGTCCAATTCTTGGTGGACAAGTATCTATATATTCCCTACCCTTGAGCATTTTCAGTAGGAAAGACTAGAGGAGGAATGATATGTTTCCATTAGATAGATTCTCTAACCAAAACACCTTAAGAGCAAGAAGGGAAAGCGTTCTTTTGCTGTTAGGATAAAACATCTATCTGCAGCCACAAATCATTAATTGGCCCTTTTCCCCAAAGCAGACACATTTTTGTGAAAGTATATTGGATCTACATCTTGGAGGTATGGTAATACCGAATGGGAAAAATAATCTGGGAGYATTTATTTGGTTTTTGTTTGTGTGTTTTTAGATTAGAGGACAATAGACTCTGCAGACAGAAAATAATAGCTACAGTGAGCCTGACCAAATATCTATTTATCCTTTACTTTGTTTCTTTTGTTGAAGAAAGTTGTCGGAAGAGATTTAAAAAGAAGAGAAAACAGCACAACTAACTTGCATATTTAACAGAATTTTGTTTGTTTTTAATGGCTTAGAGTTTGTTACGTGAATGGAGTAACATTAGAGTACTGTAAAATATACTAAAGAGAGATGAGCAACTCCATCCCCAAAGTCAGATATGAAGAGTCATCATCAGATGGGGTAGGTTACCTTAGATATAAAGAAACACTTAGATGCACCTCCAAGTTAGATCTTGTTTCTGAACTACAGAAAAAAAAATAAGACAGGAGCGTATCTTTGATAYTAAAACATTTTGAAAACTGACATCTTTGCAATGAGTACATATTCCCTCAACCAACTGTTCATAAATTAAAACTAGAATTCCTGTCCTGCCCATCAAAACCTTTGACTTTATGATGATTTCTTTTCCTTCATACTACTTTAAGAGCAGGTTTAGTATTATTGCTCTTCAAGAAATTACTGTCACTTTTAAGGCTTTATTATTGCAGCTTTATTATTGCATAAAACCCTCATAGAATTTTGGCTTACCATATTGAAATCATAGTCAATTATTCTAATGGATCTAATYTTTCCTTAGGATTCTTTCTTAAGGCTAAAATTATTATTTAAAAAAAAWTTCATTTGGTGGAAGGAATGAGAAAGCCTTTGAATGCTGTTCTAAGGATCTTTAGAACAAACATCTAATTTATAAAATAAATATTTTTTTCCACATTTGACAATAGGCAATTGGTTGAGAATTAAAATTAGAGAACAGAATAAAAGGTAAAATTTCAGACCAGTCTAACCATTAATTAGTCCATTAATTAAGCTTCTTTTTATTTTTCRCTCTCCATTCACATTTGCCTTATCCTTTTTTGTCTTTAGCACAGCCAGTTAGCTGTCACAATTTGCTGTCACACGTATAGAAATACTGCTGTAGTTATCTGGGGAGACAAATTGTTCTTCACAGAAATGTTCAGGTTTACCTCTACTGTTGCTGTTGTCAACATAGTAAATATTTAAATAATTCAGTTATAACTGTAAATAGTTAGCATATTGGCAACAGCTTTACAGCAAAGCAGTAAAGGAACAGTTGGGAGCTGGGAAAGAGCAGGGATTGTATAACTGTAAAGCTAGGCTATAAAAAAGTCTCATACTTTGTCCTTGGGAAATCAAATAAAATTAGATATTAGAGAAGCAGAGTGCACGCAGGGAGGCACTTGTGTGCCTTTTGCTATGACTTTATGGGGGACTTGCAAATTATTTTTATTTCTGTTACATAAGCAGCGTTGGCTGACAAGCAAATAGCTTGTATCGCAAAGGTAAGAATCTTCTTTTCAGATCTCTCGCTGACGTATCTGGCACATATGTTGCTCATGTATGCAATCTGCTGGAACAGAAACAGATGTTTAAATCAGAGGTTTGGAAAATAAATTTGAAAATTTAGAAACAACATTGTGATCAKCTAGGAACAAATAAATATCTCATTTTCTTCATCTTCCTGTATCTATGCACTTTTTAAAAATGATCTTTAAGAAAGAGCTACAGATTGAGAGTTTATAACAATGGTATAATTTTATAGAAAATAAAGTTTTAGGCTGTCTATTTTACTAGAATATTTTTAAAAGYTGAGAGAAGAGGAATTACTTAGATATTGCAGATTTAATTTATCTAGATATTGCAGAAGTTAAATTGCTTAGATATTGAAGAAGATATTGCAGAAACCAAAAAGAGAATCTTCTGTTTTCCAGCCTTTATTATTTTTCAGTTAATTCCAATTTAAATAAGCAGTAAAAACACTTAAAATTGAAAAAGAATTCCTCAAAAATTTGATTACGTCTTCTACTTCAGTTTGCACCCAAAATGCTCAATCTAWGACTAAAAGGTTTCCTACTGTGAGAACATCAGGGAGAAATAGAATTCCTGGAACAGAATTGTAAATCATCAGTACCAAGAAAAAGTTACAAACTGAGGTATGCATTGCATGAGAGTTACCTTAACTGAGAAACCCAAGATACCTTGGGGAGAACAAGAGAGGGTAAAGGAAAAGGCCAGAAATTGGATGTTTTGCTTAAAAGGAACACCAAATGGAGGGAGCACACCTGCAAGGACCTTGTGCAAAAACAGTCACAAAACTGTCAAAGTCACAGCCTATCTGCTGGCTTTCTTAATAAATAAAATTTATTTATTTAAAGAGCAAAATTTGCACCATAGAAGCCTGTACTTCCTGTTTTCTCACTCCCAAGGATTATCTTACATTGTTCCATCATCACAAAAACATCTGTGGCTTGGAATAAAACAAAAYTGTAAGAGCATAACACCAGCATTATTAGGGAACAAGAGGCAGACTTCACAAGCAGAAGGAGCAGCTCCTAAGGCAAGTTGGAGCCAGGGAATCACAGATCAACATTCTGGTCTTCTCAGCAGGAGAACATGCATCATCYCTACTCGCAATGCAAAAATGTATTATCTTGTTTTCCTTTAACTCAGTTTGCCATGAACAAAAAGCCAAATCCCCAGAGGAATCCAGCTACATGGAAACCACATAAGAGGACTATCATGGGCCAGCTCAAATTTCACCCTGACAATATCTCCCGGTCTCTCCCTTTGACTTCTTTGTTCCAGCTAGGCTTTTTTTTTTGTACAGTATTAGGGAAATTCATTAAGTTTTTGGACCAGATTTATTTGAAACACTCTAGATGAAGGAGAAGATGAAATAAGCTTCTGGGCAAAGTGAAAATCAAATTTCTTGCTCCACTTGTATTCAGCTCAGCATCTACTCTGTCACGGAAGCTTTTCTCAGGTCCTTTGCGTTGGTCATCTTGACCATCAGACTATCCCAAATAATTTATTGTCTTCTTCTGTTTGTGACAGAAAATTGGCATGAGACAGATTAATTGAAGGATTAATTAAATGACAGAATAAATTTGTTTTGGAGAGGTTCTCTCCTGTGTTTCTAACAGAGCTTCCAAAAGAAGCAGGTTTGGTATGAAGAGAGACTTAGCTCATTTACGTTCACTTCCTCTCTCTTAAGYGGTTCTTTAGGAAGGGCTGAGGTCTTGCTCCGTCTGGCAGTTCACTGGTTCCTAGCTATGGTTCTTCTTTGGCCATTATGCCTTCCTACATTATGTAAAGTTTCTAATAAGAAACKAAAGAAAAAACACAAACCATGATTTGAAATCTCTGGCAAGAGAGCTAAAACTTACTTATTATTCAGATAAAATTCCACCAACATAATTTTTTTTTTGTCTGAAGAGAGGTCATCTTCAGATCCTGATTCAAAAACACTTCATGACACAGACAGTAAGTTATTGCAAGTAATAAGTTCAAGACAACTGCAAAGACAATTYCAAAGCTATTCATTAAAATGACTCTCTCTCATCAGAAAAAGCCTTATTATTACGGTATCCTACAGGCAAAGCAGTAGCCCAAATTTAAGCTGAATTATTGTGAAGTTAGCACCATTAGCAGTTTATCCACATTGCTGTTTATTATCTTGATATTTTTTGATATTAATTATTCAGTTTGTATAGCAATGCCTGTTGCAATGCAACTTGAATTGCAGAAAGCACAAATCAGCCAACCACAAAGAATTCAGTACAATTGCTAAGAAAAAACCTACTATGAAAGGATTTTCTTGCAGGTGCAGAAATGGACTGCCATTTTTCTGTCTGGGGAGTTTTGGCCTTTCTGAGTTTGGCTCTGATCGTTTCACTAATATTCAATATTTCACAGTATATAAGAAAGAAGCGAGAAGGTAAGTGATAGCTCTCTTGTAAGGAATGGAGTTCGAGTGTTTGAAAGTACCTCTAGAGAAATATAAAGCCAACTACTTGATTCTTTCCAAAATTAAAGCTATCTTTGTCAAGCATGGTTCTAGTAGTGAGGACCTGACAGTTTGTGGGGTCTTTTTTTTTTCTTTTCTTTTAATAGGAGTTAGGTATGTTACTGAATGATTACTATGTGCACAAATGATATGTGCATAAATTATTATTAGACTATTATTATTATTATTAGACTATTAGAATCCATTTTCTAATGGCTAGACAAAAGAACATGCAGAAAGTGTGCTTTACATTTAATGTTGGACATACTTTTTTTAAAATATGTTTTAAAAGTGTATTATTCCATTTTTCTTTAAGTGTACTTTCCATAGAAGTAATTTCACTTCCATGCTTGAACTTAAAAAATGATTTTAAGTAACTGTGCTAATACAAAAGCTACTTGAGAAAACTTTCTCCTCCCCAAATTCCTGAATGCTTATTTGAATTTCAGATTTTATACACATTCTATATTCAATCWATTTGGAAAAAAGATTGTTCCATGGGCTTTTCACTGTGGGATCCTAACACAGCTGTTAAACCAATGTGTCACCATCTATAAGGAAATAATTTCCTTAATTTATGTTACATGGTGAGCACAATTATATACTATTTCTAGTTAAAATTAACTTTTTCTTTTTTTTTTCTTTTTTTTCTTTTTTGGGGGAACAAGATTGATTAAACCAGTACAAACTTCCTTATTCATACAAATATAAAAAAACACCTTCACCACCTTCATACAGGAAAATTAGTACCTGAACCTTATGCCTAAGAGTGGACAGGTACACAGTGGTAGATTTGACTCCTTTCAACGTATCTATATCCATATAGAATTCACATAACTTTAGAAACTAACAGAAAAACCTATGCTCATAAATTGAATTTACTAAGAATAAGGAAATGGTGTAATTACAGGATACAAAAATAGCTGCTTGAGAGTTGTGCTACTGATGTTAYTTTTTTGTTTTGTCTTCTAGTGCTACTAGACAGATACTTCTATACAGAATAATCAATTATTTACAATATCAGCTTTAAGCAAGGCTGCCATCAGACTGGCTGATTTTGCAGCATCCATGATATCAGATCTTGCTTATGGCAAACTCTGTCTTCCTGGAGCACAGAACAGAAAGTCAGGCACCCCGAGTTACTAACCAAGCTCTGGGGACAACTGATCTGTTTGTGGCCTTTGGGCCTCTGCTTCAACTTCTTCATCTGTGGATCACAGAACCTCTCCTTCAGAGATATAAGCAAAAAAAAAATCTAGTTAAAAACCCCTTCATCTTACGTTATAAACRTATGATGCACCAGCCAGAGAAAAAGATGAAGCAGAAGAAAGAGGAAGCACAAGGAATCAGACCTATGTGTTAGAATACATTTTGTGGGGGAAAYGACAAACTTGGTTATTGGTTACACGCAGTATATAACAAAATGGGGCCTGGAAAAAGGACTGCTGTAACATAAACTTTACAAGCATGGCTGGATCCATATTTCTTAGAGTAGGCTTAAATTAAAAGGATATGAGTAGAGAACGGGGACAAATGAAGGTGCTGAAAACCTAGAGATTTCAWTTTTACTTTCTACAGTGCCATCAGCAGCATTTAAGACAATAATCTGAAATGTTCAACAGTAATACATTTCCCTTTCTTTTAACATTACTTTTCCACACATTTTCCAGATAAAATGTATAAAGACTATGAAGACTGCAGTCCAAGGTAGGCTGGATAAAAAAAATGTTTCTTTTCAACAGGGGTAAAATAAGCAATAAGCAATGATAGATGGCTTTGGAGAGTGGCATGGAAGAAATTCCAGCGATCTCATGAAACCTGCCTAGAAATATCAGAGAGTGGGATGGTTATGAATAAATGTTTTGTGAAGAAATCAGGAAAAATATTGCCTTGGCAGCGCATTCATTTTACCAACAATCAAATAATGTAATGCTAATACAATACATTTGGTATGCTTAAGTGAAAGATATTGAGCTAAACTAGTATTTATTCTCACTCAATCTCAATGACCCTCTAATAATTAAACGGAGCTCTCAGAACACTATGATAAATTATAGAATTACACTATGATACTATATACTTGAGGAGTAGTAATTCATATGTATTTACACTTCATATTTCCTTTTTACCCACTCCATTCAAAAGCAATAAAACAGTCTATTTACGTTGCTCACAGCTGCTATATGGCTTGTGATAAGTTACTAGTCTGCTTCTCTTATTCCACATCAAAGTAACTGCTTTAAAAGACAGAGATGGAATGAATCTCATCCCACCTCAAATGTAAAAGGCCCTTGTGAAAACAAAACAAAAATTCTCTCCTTCCCCTTRCTCCCTCCTGCTCCCCCAGAGTCCCCCCAAAAGGACTCCAGCTCTTGAAGAAATGGACATCTTGTCTGAATAAGTTGTTTGAAGTTTTTGGTGGCAATAGAAAGCTCCATATCAGAGTAAAACTGACTATCAGGATTAGAGGTTTCAAGCAGTTCTCAAAATGGATATATGATWTGCCTGCCGGATAGGGTAAGACACTGGACACACTAACCCTATTCAGTCCTGTTTTCACTGATTTGTTTCAACTGAAGTTGAGTGATTATTACTATTTCTAGGCCTATATCAAACAATAGCTTTGTAGTAATCTTGGTATTAGCTTTATGTTAATTAAGATACAGGAAAYAAGAGCTCAAGTCTTCATTAGAGAGCAAGTCTCTCTTTAGAATATGGATTATACTCTTTCTTCTGCTCTGTAAAACTATTATTTTTCCCCCTCATATTTTTTGTGCTGCCTTTTAGGTGACATATACAGTATGCTATTGCTATATATGTGTAAAAAATATTTAGAGTATAATTGTGAGATTCTAAATTAAGTTTATTATGTCAATTAAAAATATTTCTCTATTTCCATTCTAGCTATGATTACTTTGACACAGGAGATGACTCAGTTTATGGCAATCTCAGTCAAGATATTTTAGGTAAGCTTACCTCTTAAGGAAGTATTTATTTGGTAGATAGAATAAAAGCGTGGATAAAAGCAGAATAATCAATAACTTTTGTGTGTTTCTTAAATTGCAAATGTGAGAATCAACTGCTTTTTASTTTCAAGTATTAATCTTTACTTGAATATAGAACTGGCTTACTATTCATAAGACAAATTCGTGCAGTGAGTTTGACTTTTTACAATCCAAATATTTCTGTTCAGCCAAATATCTCAAAACCAAGAGGTTTTCTACATGCAGAGCTGTTTCTGTTCACGTAATGTCTAGGTGCAYGCACATTAAAGCAGTCTAAGGCAAAACTACGCTCTGAAGTCGCTGTCCACATGGAAGCTGGCAGAAAAATATGCTTACTCTTTCTGCTATGGCTATTCACAGATGCAGCTCTTGTTGCAAACGTGCACGCCAGTGATGGGAGCAAACGCAGTCCACGGAGGCTGAACAGTGGGCAGGTGGAGCTGCCCTCTACTTTGCTGAGCTCAAGTAAGAGTGCTTGGCAGAAAGGCACCACGTTAATGGTAGCAACATGGTATAACTGCACTTAGAGCTAGATATATTGAAAAATACGTCTCAGAGCCTTTACAGGGTTAAAACAAATACTAGGTAATGTGGATATGTCTTTTTTTTTTTTTTTCTCTCTCTATTAGTCTGTTAGTTTAATTTGGGGTGAAACAAACTGAAAATCAATTTTCACATACCTAAATTGTGGTATTGGCTTCCCCATTCAAAATTCAGCTACACAAACACTTGAATGCACTGATGCTACCTAAAMCGCAAACAAATAGTAATCGCTTTTACTGATGTCTAAAATGAAATATGGCWTGAAAAAATAATTTGAATTAAATTCACAAAAAAAAAAAAAAAGCCCTTAAAGCCAGAGTCAGAAATAGTTTAATCACCAACTCCTGCAACTCAAAACATCATTGGTCACTGTATAGCCTCACACCTAAAAAGTCTATAATAACAAATATGCCAAATACGACATTACCCTCTATTGTAAGACATTCATTTAGGCACCTAAAATGACGTCCATTTGCAGAAATATGAGAAAACTCCCATCCATAAGTACAGAAAATGAATTTTGGTTTCAGAGCACATTCATCTGACTTGCCTAACTATAAACAGAGGGGAATCTACGTGCAAGGCTTCGAATCAAAACAAAACCAAACTTCTACCAAAAGAACCTTGGGGAAGGGTGGGGAAGGGGATCAGTTCTGTAAGATGGAGAAGCTGGTTGATTGTTAAATCCTCAAAGGGCTTTTTTAACAACGTTTTTTAACCTTTCTTAAACTTTGATCAATTCCAGAAGAATGTTGTTACGAGCAAATGAAGTCCCAGCCCCAAAGGCCAGTTAACGAACAGGTATCTTTATTTCCTAACTTGCTTTTGGATTTCTGAATTAGGGCATGTTGGGTTGTCTCAGATGTGACGGCACATTATAAAAATCTTCACGCTGCTCGTCACAAAAATTACGATGCCTCAGTTCATCAGTGAATTTAGGTACCGATTCAGCCCTTTGCTCGGTCAGTGGTTAAGTAGGGTGGAGAGCTAGAGGTAGCCTGTTTCTGTCCACATGTCATGATAAAACTCAGGCACAAGCATGCAGAGTAGGCTGAATTAAGGCTGCAGTTACAGCTTTGGCTTACGGGAGGAATTAGTTTTCCTCCTTCTGGTCAACAATCAAATAAAAAATACASGTTGAGCCACAAGACAACCGTGCATTTGACCTAATCTCTCCTGACCAACACRAAATCTGTATGCCTTAATAAATGGAAGAAGCCTCATCTTTTATTGATCTCCATATTCTTCCTGAATTACTTGGATGCCTATAAACATGCAAGGTTCAACTCACACTTTTCCTGTAAGTGAAGCATTTCGCAGTATCAATTCTTGTGTTGGTTTCCCAGTATTTAAGGAGTGACTCTAGTCTCTCTCTTCCCCCAAGACACTTTCAGGAGACACAAACACCCTTTACCTAGACATTTATTTCCATAAAGCTCACAGAAATGCAATCAGCCSTGTAAGTTCCCATATCAAAAGATTTTCTCAATTTCGCTGGAAAAAATGCATAAAAAGAAGCAAAGAAAACATACACATAACATAGATTTCATACTGGAAAATAAATTATATATACACACAAGACCTTTGCTTTTCATACAGACAATGCTGTTGCTAGTGTCTGGATTCTAATAAATAAAGCAGTGGAAAAAAAATACAGGCCAAACAATGTCTTGCATCCCAGGGAACAAAGACTATTATTATTACCATTTTCCCAAATGAGAATCTTTCTGATGTGAAAGATTAAGCATCCTTAACCGTCACTATCACAAGAACTGGAGTCACTTACCATTAGGGTCCATTTAGGTGTCTCTGCTGCTGCAGTTKAATCATTTGTACTTTCTTTTTGTATTTGCATTTGCAGCTAACCTTGGTAAAAGTCAGTCTTATAAAAGAGACATACAAAAAGCCTTACATAATTTTAAGACAAACATTATGACTGAGTGTTAAATACAAAGTGGATTTCCTTCTAGGTGGAGCCTGCCAATCAGATGTGCTATGCCTCCCTTGATCACAGCATCAAGGGAAAACGCAGAAAACCGAGGAGAAAGAAAGAGTCTTCAGAAGAAGATCAAGAAGAAAGACCATCTAAACCCACTGTCATGCCTTCCATTTATCTTAATAGTGAGCAGCTGGCTGCTGAAAACCCAGCAAAGGCAGAAGCTGTTCATGATGATCCCATCAGATTAATGGGCTTGATTCATGCTACCAAGGAGAACGTTTGAAGTGAGATCCACTTGTTCATTTTGGGGGAACAATGAAAAATATCCTGGCAAATGGTGTAAAATGGGTAAGTTAAGTCCTCAAATGATCTTCCAAGCATATATATGGACCACGCAGGAAGTAACTACAGATCAAGATTACCACGTTGAAAGACTTGCACTTCCAAAGAGGTTTTGGAATGGAGTTTGAGTGCTCGTATCTCAGAATTTGATTCCAGAAAAGYGTTGGCCTAGTATTTATTCCATTTTTGTTATATATATTTGTATATATAATATATATAATATACCTATACATCCACACTCATAAACTGGAATAAATACCAATAAAATATAATCCTGTCTTTCAAAGGACCATGTGCAATTCCTACTTGAATCATTTCCAGAATACCCACTTGGTTGTTTGTAGAGCTCTAGCACAGTTACACTGTTCTTCTACCTGATTTTTGACAATGTGGTTTAGCAATACCCTTTGGAAACAAATGGGGTTTCACATCTGCATAGTTAAGGATTTAGTGGTTTTTTTCAATCACAAAATCGTTCTGCTATTCAGTATTTAGTGCTTTCCCATTGTGAGTGGTCTACAGTAATATGACTATATATCTAAAGCTAATCAAAGAATAATTCAACAACTTGTTTAAATTAGTACCCCTATGTCTAGCAAAATTTAACAGTGTCCTTACTCACCTTCCCTTTTGTAAAGAATATGAGAACACATTTAACATCTTTATTTTTCTACTAACATAATGTAATAGTCTGTAAAGATTTGGCCAAATAATCCATAAAAATAAAACTCCTAGGYTGGATTTTGCCTTCCAATATCAAATATATCATATATTATAATTGATATTWAAATGCCTACTGGCTTTTACATTGTCATTTTTAACAAATATTTTAAGAAATCAGAAAGAGCTTTTCACTTCTGTAAATAACTCAGTGTTCACATTCATCTTTAGACTTTAACGCCATCTCAGAGTAAGCTAAGATAGTGAGGAATCATTTTTATGCAACATGCTCAGAGAATTATTATGTAGCAGCCAGCAGCAGCAAACAGCAGGGCGGTTGATTTAACACGCACACCTCCAGCTGTCACACAGTTTTGCTTTCTCAGAACATACTGGGGCTTCCAAAACTCCATGCAGAGCACATGGCCRTGGAGCTCAAGGGCACATGCAGAGCCCACAGGGGCACTGCAGGTCCTGCAGAACTAGCAGTCCTCTTGAACATGRCATAACTTCTACACTAAACCAAGAAGCAGGGGCCAACCCCACATCCCAGCAGCTTCATGCCACTGCCTCTCATGAGCTAGTGTGTGCTTTTGAATGGGGAAGCCAAATCAGCACGTTTGGCTCAGTGCCTAATCAGTGCCTCAGAAGCAAGGAAAACTTGAGGATCACTATGACCACGTTGCCACGGCCTTAGATGAACTATCATTAGTGGAATAGGAAAAGGTAGTTCTGGAGACTTGATAGAAGAACATTAAATGGAGCACTGCATCAAACAGAGATCTTGGGGGAGGAAGTGGGGAAGAATCCAAAGATCAACACTGAGATATCAGAGCATAAGTATCCTAATCTGAGCAAATTGGAAGGAATTATTTATAGCAGTTGGAAACAAATAAAAGACAAAGTAAAATGCATGTCAACAGGTTCTTCTCAAGCTTGATGCTTCAGCACTCAAAACTGTTTGACCAGCATTAGTGATATATATTTATATTAAATATTTTGATTTAGTTGATAAAACCCTCACATACAATATTCACACCCTCTGAGATTAGAGATAATTGCTTCCTTGAACAAGCTCTCAAGCAAATAAACATAGGTCCCAAGGTCTATTTGTTACTGTTTTCCAGAGAACGTTTTCATAATTTTCATAAAAAATTGTTTAGTTTTGCTCAAGAACAGCTATTCCATGTTTCCTATAATGTTTACAGTTGGTTATGCTCTTCTAAAACTTTTTAAGAGACATAACTTCAGAAAGAACTTCAACAAGTTACCTAAATTCAACCTTTCATTTCAACCTGATCATTAGTTTACGAGAAATAAAGCACCCACTTCACTCGCTGACTGCACACATAGCAAGCACCCTTCATGAGGTTTAGGTACATTTAGTTCCTTCTATGTCCTTAGTCTTCATTGTTTAGACCATCTATTTATTTTCACCAATTTCTAGCAGCTGCTCTTCCTTGTAATTTATTTTGCTGAAGTGTGTAGTACTTTCCAYTAGTAATCTCCTTCAATACTTCTTTTCTAAATTTGATGGCTGTTTTCATTAGATTTTCTACTTCTGGTTTAATTTACCTAGACCATCAACCCTTTCTAAGTTCTTTCACCCTCCTTTTGCTTACATAAATAACTGAATGAAAGGCATTTTGAAGACTTCTGGGGTGATGGCTTTCAAATGACTGAAGTATTCTAACAAAGGACATGTTTTAATAAAGTACATCTTGCTTCCTTCTCAAGACGTTACAGAAAAACTTACAGGACATTTTATGCATTATGTAAATTCTTAATGTACAAGTAAGGATTCAGAGGTAGTTGCAAAAGGAAAACAAAAAGGAAATGGCAAGTATAGATTTATACTGTTCAAGTAACAGGTTTTTAGAGAATTCCGTGCCTTTCCTTCTCCTCCCCCCCAAAAATTACCATAGCATTATGAAGCTCGTTTTATTAAATCTAGCTTAACATTCATTCAAATACTCAATAGAACAGTAGAGAATATCAGAGAAGTATGGTGGCAGAAGCAAAGACTATTTGGAATGGAGGAGGCAGAGATCGGAAAAGGCAACAGAGAATAAAATACCACTAAATTCTCACAGGGCTAACATCAGCACAGGCCAGCAGTTGTGACAGTTCCCACAACTGCATATGCAGCAGTTTCTAACCAGTGTTACTAGAAACATCAGCAGACTCTTAGGTACATCATTCTAGGCAAACTATGGGCAAAAAAGTGGACATGGAAGACTCAAACTCCAAAAATGGAGTTCCTCATTACTGCTACCATGAAAAGAGTGCCAGTCAGGTAAGCTCATCTTCCTACACCCKCAAGGTTTGACAAAACTACTTCTTCAAAACCACTTCTTCAAATTCCAAGTTACCTTAATAGACTGAATTACTGCCATGTTCTTTAAATGAATCTAGTTTCCCACCTGGGTAAGTCTTCATTGTGTTGCTATGTAGAAATCTTACCTTGAATCAAACATGTCTAAAAAACCATTCCAGTGTACATTTAAATTAAGTTTAGAAAACAGTGCAGTTACATAATTCCTTGATATAGATGTCTGAGCACTGGAACAGGTTGCCCTGAGAAGYTGTGGAGTCTTTGTGCTTGGAGATATTCCAAAGCTCTCTGGACAGCTTCCTGGATAAAGCGCTCTGGGCAAATCTGCCTGAGCAACAGGGTTGGACTCAATGACCTCCAGAGGTCTCTTCCAACCTCAGTCATTCTGTGATTCTGTAGATTGTGTGAGGTAGCACATTGTGAAAACATAAAAGAAAAAAATATCAAATCCTTTAATATATAAACCTTTATTTTCCAAGTAGCTCACAAAAGTTAGTTATTCAATAAAACATTAAAATTATACATGAGGCATGTTACAAGACATAGTATGAAATACTGCATTTAAATCATCCAAGCCCTTCCAGATTTTTCCCCCTACCCCGACGCATTTAGTAATGTCACATGTGTAATATAAGCACAGGTAGGAATTCAGGCTTGTTAATAGCCCATTAATGCTACAGTAAATATCAAAGCTTATCAGAATATTAAAAAATAGCACAAATCACAATCTTTTACAATAAACACTATTAAATACAGAAATCAAACTTGCCATAAAAAAGAAGCCTGATTCCTTGTAAATACCTGATGAAACCAGATGGGTAAGAATCTGGTTTTCCCTTTCAGGAGGGAGCTCCTAGAGCTTGTTTTATATTATAGGGAAGTATAAATCAGGACTAATTGTACATTAGTACACCTGCTTGTTAAGAATTGCAATCTCTTAATTAAAATATCTAAATTAAAATTAATAAATGATTTTTAAAAGTTATAAAACAACATTTTCTCTGTAGCAGTCCATGTATGCTCCTTGGTGAGTTTTGATTCGAGGTCCTCCAAAGAAATGCCAGGATTTCGGTCTTTCTCATCAGCGTAGCTTAGTTTTCTTGACACCCTAAATAAAAKAATTGTTTAGATCATAAAATTATGGTAAATTAAACAAGAACACAGTTCTTGCTTATTGATTAGTTGACAGTAAACAGAATGCAACTGATACAAATTGTCAAATATCAAAAGATATCTGCACACCCTGATGGTGGCCTGCAGCAGGCTTCCTTACCTGCATGCACTCACCTCAAGSGGAATGCTTTTCACCTGATGTCATTTTAATGTCTCAGTAATGCTGTTTTATTCACTTAAGTTATGTTAATGTAAATATCTATTAACAATGTTGAGATGCAATCACTGAATGTATTCACAAATAGCTACAAGCGAGAGATGGTGCAGCAATGAGAATACAGTTATTTCTCTGATGTTCCTGAAGGATTGGCAACATGTTTTTGGATCTGTTTGAAACCAATATGGTTTATATTAGATAAAAATYACATACAACAGTAAGTCATAAGACAGCACTCGCACAAAGAAACAGAGTAATTTATTTGCTAAATTCCTGAAATCTCTCATAATCAGCTCCTAGATGAAGACTGTCAAGTTCCAGACAACAAGGTGAGAATATTCTTCCCTGCCCCATCATTCATTACAGCACAGAGCATTTTGCTGCCTCGCTTAGGCATGAAACTCCTGAGGGCGCAGGAATCACTAGAGAGCCTCACTCCTGGGATGTCTTTTTATAGTCACAAAAGTCCAAGAATATAATAACTGAGGCCTAAGCTTGCCAGTAGATTGTCCATTTATGTTACACATTAAGACACGTGCATTTGTCCAATTAAGGAACAAAGGAATAGATTAAATTCCAGATGGCTTGGCAGGAAAGTACACATTAAAATCCCAATTACCTGCTCTCCTCCAAACTTATTTATTTGCAGGCGTTAAGGAGRGGAAACCCTTTTTGTTCTTCAAAACAATTCAGTAACCTCCTAGGGAGGACTTTGTGTGTAGTCAGAAAAGAATGCAGAGAAAGTGTAAATTCAATAGCTGAATAAAAATTCACTTAGTCAAGTGCAAAGTGAGCACACTCAGAATCACAGAAACATCTTCATGTACTCATTTTCTCTCCAATACTATTGGAAAGTAATATTCCAATATTAATTTCCAATATCAAAAATAATCTTAATGTAATCTTTATTAATAATCATTTTGAACTTGAAATACAAATGCCTATCAGTTTAGATTTCATCTTCACTTAAATTGACACTTTTTTCTTCAAATAATGCAGCATCTACTAATCAAAGATCTACATGTAGGTACTTTCAAAATACAGTCAAATCTCCCCTTTGAAATTTCAATCTGACCATTGTCAAAAATCAGATATCAGCTGTAAGAAATACTTTAACAGAGTGAAAACACTTCTTGGCTTTGGAGTTTAGGAAGGCAGCACATTTTGGGGTGCCAAATCAGATATTTTTTGGCAAAACTAAGCTAAGTTTTCTCTATCACAGAGATGTTTCAAGAAATAGAAGGAGGGTGTTTAGAGAACTTTGAAGATCATTTAATCCTATGCCTATAAAATTAACTCATAATCCATGGAATCTAGAGCGTGAAAAGTCAAATTAAGCATACCAAGGAAAACATGTGTAGAAGGACATGGTCCAGGAACAGGAGGGAATGTTCTCTCAAAATGTAAATATTCCATTGACAGTGATAAAAGAGAAASAGAGCATCTAGGGTCTATTCCTAAGAGATCCACGGCTGGTACAACACAGAGTGAGACCACTGGCAAATAGGTCTCCCTGGACAGGACCCGTTTTTTCAAAGCCATTTTAAATGGCAATATACTGCTCTCTCCAGATCTTAAGAACCCAGAAAGGCTTGTCAGCTCAAGCAAATAACTACAGAACTGTTTTTATCTGGCTATGCCAAAGCTAAAACGAAAAGCACATCTCTAGGAAGTACTCGAGTGGCAATTCAGCAAAGCCAATCAAAGCAACTTMGGCTTGTTGGCCACCCATGCTGGACTCTGGCTAGTTTTGTCCAGCAACACTTGCCTTCCCGTGTTCACGTCTGCAGGTTTGATTAGCTTGTGCTCTCCCAAGGATCCAAGCTGATTTCCATCGTACTAGTATATATGATGCAGAACTGGAAGTAACAGCTTTCTTCTAAAACAAGAGCAAACTTTTTTTGAGATTTCTTTTCTAGAAGCTCCAGAGGCGCTTACCTTTGGYGACACCTCTGTGCACTCCTCTGGAGGATGCAAGTCTGCTGTGTGTCAGGCCTGTCAGGGTGGGCGTCTGCAACTCCAGACTCTGCTGATGAAAAACAGGATGAAACAGGCAAGTACCATGAGGGCTGGCACGAGCACTACAGTAAGTTGTTAAAATATTAGCCTAATGAAACAATGCTGATAATCACCTTATTTTAATCAACAAAATCCCTTACAAAAATCTTTTAATGCAAAATACAATTTCAACACAATTCCAAAGCACTGTGTATATTTAAGTATAAAGTTTACTTTCCTCAAAGTATTTGTGATTTATTACCATCAGARAAAGACACAGGTAGTTCACAATTATATACAACCTCAGGAAAGAAACTGTTGACATAAATTGTCTTCTTCTCTGGTAAAGTATAATTTCTGACTGGATGTTTATATATATAGAAAGTAAAAGCAACAATAAATGTAGCAGGAAAGAGAACAAACTAGCAGAAAAACTAGCAGATAAACACTAGCAATCCAGCCCGTAGTAGGAAAATTCTCAGCTAATGAGCAGAAGAGCTTAACAGCAGTCAACACGATTCAGGAAATCATTTCCTACTCAGATTCATTACATACTAAAGAAATTTGAACACATCCAATAATTACTAAAGAAGAAGAACTGTTAACTTGATGGGAGTCTGCAGAGGAGATCTATAGATTTWTCCTTTAAATAACTGCCTGTGACTGCTACAGTAGTAATTCAGAAAGCCTCTGGAACTAACCTTGCAGAGAAGCATGAGGACTAACAAGAAAGGTGTTATTCAGAGAAGGGCGAAATCCAGAGTCCTAAAAATAAAGCATCAGCAGATTAGATCAGTAGAAAAAACCTCATGTATTACTTCATAGCCTGTGCTGAAAGGAGTAACTGGAAACGTGGAACTAAGGACCCGACTTAAAACTTAAACAAACCTAACTATTCCAATGCCTTAACAAGACTGTCTTTTTCATTTTATTTATTTTTAATGACACAGCATTAAAATGAGAGGAAAGCTTCTGCTGAACGTTTTTAAACCTCCTTCAGGATGACTAAACATGGTGACAACTTCCTTACACAGGATTTGAGAATATAAGAGACTTGATGCAACTTGCATTTAAACTGGTTTGCAAAACAAAAAACACACTTCCAACAAAACGAAACAAAAAAAGGACCAGAGTAATGTTCTGACTAGTTCTAAAGACCTTCCAACACAAACACTGKTTTTTTTAAGCCTTTCTCCAAATGTCAGCAAAAGATGATACAGTTATTTTTTTTCCCCTCCCTCACAAGGTCCTCCAATACCTGACTTTGGCAGTTGTGGGTGTCACGGAAGCTGGGGCTATTGCCACTGCATGTGCTTGACAGAGAGATATCACCTTTAGGGAGATGAGTATTTCTCCTGTGAGAAGTCTGATGATGCACTGCTGGAGGACAATAACGTTCAGGTATATTTTTCAGGCGCTTTACAGGCGAAGAGAGGGAATCATTCTGAATATTTGCTAGTCTTTTAACTCTGGGAATTGCAGATAAAGCTCGAACAGGTGAGTTAACGAGAGCATTTACAGTTTCAGACATCTGTATCACTTGATACTTCATCAAGTTGGAAGCTCGCTGAAGCCCGGGCAGTTTTGGAACACTATCAGCAGACAATTTCTGATAAACCTTCTCAAATGCTCTGTCATACTGCACACTGGACCTCACAGGATCACTTAAGTTATTCTTCATTAATCTCACTTTCTCCTCAAGTTTCTGTGAGCTTGAAGGCACCAAGGGCTTTTGAATTTCTTTGGAACATAGTTTGTGGTAGAGTTCTTCAAARGCATCTTTGTATTTCTGAGGCTTTGAAGGGCTCTGATTCACAGGTAAAAAGGAAAATGAGTGGCTGCGCTGCAGAGAAGGCCCCCTCTCAGAAGTTTTCATTTCAGGATTTCTGAGAAATGTATTCGATCCTTTTCTAAGAGAACTGTTTCTAACTGGTACAAAAGCATTACCATTGGTACTGAAACTGCAAATTGATGAGCACAAAGCTGAAGTATCACCAGAAGGAAAGTCAGTTTTGTGAGTTTTGTTCTCTTTTACCAGATGAAGTGTTGCTGACCCTGAATTGATGGTAGGTGTTACAGAAGGGTAACCTGAAGAACATTTATAAGTCCAATTTTCACTTTGATTGCATTTTGAATTCTTCAATGAGGGAGGAGTCTGTAAAGGATCTTCAACTAGAAATGTTTCTCCTATTCTAGCCATACCACTAGGAAGAACAGTCTGTTCAGAGACATTCTGGCCTTTAGCAGCTGCTGGATCACATTCTAAATTTGAATCAGAGCAGTCCACTTCCATTTCAGTTGCAGCACTGTGAGAATAACACGCCAGGGYATTTAAATTATCAAAGGAGCCCTTGTTATCACAAGCATTTGCATTATTTCTAAAAGGCAGGTTCCGAACACCTTCACTGCTACCACTGGGGCTGCAGGGGTCAGTCTGGGCTGGCTTCAACCTAAGTGGTCTGAACTCTTTCCTTTTCTCTACAGTGACATTGAGCTTTGCTCTCCTAGAACGCCATCTTCGGCGCCTGTAGTGGCGAGCCATGTACGCAAACACTTTGCTCTGAAAATGTTTTCTCATGAGCCTCATTAGCGACTCTACCATCCCTGGATACAAGTCTCCAAGTGTTACAGTGCTCCAGGAGCATTCCTCATCGGCAGACTGGTAGAATTCCAAGACACTRTCGCAGCAAGTTCCATTCACTTCCGGAAGACGTTGGTGCATGGATACTGCGACTGTATTTGCTGAAGTGGAAACACCAGGCAAAGGTAACTGGAGAGACCTGGATGGAGAATATTCATTTCCAAACCCCAATTTCTTTTTGCAAACAATGGCTTGGTTGCCTGTTCAAAGGAAAAAAGAAAAAAATAGTAATATATTACCTGACTAAAA